TTTGCTGTTAAACAGCGATAAACAACATAAGAGAACTCTAACGCCGGTGTTGGAGTATTATGTAATGGCCCTGTAGAGGAACCCGGCTACATATATTTCTCTTAATTTTCTGCGATTTTCCCGTGAACGTTCTATGTCGGTCGAAGTATTTTACAAAAAGATGCTAACTGTCGGTAAAGCTAAGTTTCCATGAAGACGTTTTCTGCGGGTTGAACTGCGGTTCCGTGAAATGCTGTCAGTCGGTGGAAGTATTATTCCACAAGAAGTTCTTTGCTGATTAAATGAGGTTAAAATGTTCTGTCGGTGGAAGAATTATTTTAAAAATGTTCTTTGAGGTGGAACTATGGTTCCCATGGTAAGTGGGGGTTTTTCGGTGGAACTACCGTTCAATGAGGTGTTGTCAGTTAGTGGATATATGGTTCAAATGAAACTTTCTTGTTGGTAGAACTATAGTTGCAGAAGCGGTTTTCTGTCGGTAGAACTATGATTCATAGGAACGATGGTTCAGCATTTAGGATAATGTCAACAACTGGTTCACCCGTTGTCAGTATAATATCACCGGGCAGTATGCTGTCCTCTGTGCCTTCGGCATGGTGTTTCAGTGAGGTAACACTATAAAGTCGGCATCAGATCCGTGCTATCACCAGGAGGCAAATACCCCAACATACACACATCGAAGCACGTTCTTAAATAGTCCGAATTATTCTGACGTTTTATCGACTTTTTTCATATCGGTCTGTCGTCGATTAACGTCGGAACTCCGGCCCTCTATAATATGCGGGAAATATGCGACCCGCGCCCGGAGCGCACTTCAAACTTATAATATAGAAACAAATCGTCACTTTCACACACATGTCGCACATGGAACGAAAGATCTATTCTTTATGCACAAGATGAACATACATAACATGCCTCAAACAACCAATACCATCACTAAAAATATATTTTTTCAAACTTGCTCTGGTTTACTCTAGTTTTTTGATAGCCCCGCCTTCTAATGCCACGTGACTAAAATCTCGCCGGCCTACGTCATAACGTTGGGAAATACCTTCGGTAACGCGAGATCTCGTCAAGTCATGTGACATTGCTCATGGCCTTATTTCCATTAAAAACATGGGTTGGTATAGAAAACGTTGGAAAATACTTTTCGTAACATGTTATTGATACCACCTCGTGCATAAAAAATAGATCTTTCGATCCATGTTCGACATGAGTGTGAAAGTGACGATTTGTTTCTAAAATATCAGTTTGAAGTGCGCTCCGGGCGCGTGTCTCATATTTCGCGCATATTATAGAGGGCCGGAGTTCTGACGTTAATCGACGACAGACCGATGAAAAAAGTCGATAAAACGTCAGAATAATTCGGACTAGTGCTTAAATGACCTTAGCTATTGATAGGATGTATAACCCAGTACAACCAACCAACCAATCCTGGATTCGTTTACTGTTGTAGGAATGATATCGTACGATAATAAGGCATCATACAATATCAAAAACCTAGCCGACGTTTTCCTTCTGGCATATCTAGAATACAATTATATATGGTGGACATAAATTTTACAGTTGCTCGCCAAATGCCCAATCTAGAGCCAGTATAAAAGTATTGGAATTACATATGGTAACTTAGCCGTGGTTATTTGCTTAGATCGGTCATATATTTTATCGAACTGTCAACAATAAAAAGCAAAAACTTCGAATTGCTTTCAAAATGATAACAAATCAATATTCTGATGAGCCAAGCTCGACGGGAGCGATTTTATTATAGACTCTGCACAACGTCTGCGGACTAACTATTATTCTTCAACAAGGCATGCTCTCGATGGGCAAGTCACTGTCACTTATTTTATCTTAAACGTCCTATATCTGATTAGGATCGCATCGGAGGGGCCGTTTATGTTTACAATCGACATCTGCTCTGCGTTAACTGTGTAAGGCGAACAATATCGAAAATGATTTGGTTCGTTCCGTCAATAAATTTCTTTCATGGAGAGCCGTAATTGCCGAAGTTGCTCTGTGTGTTGATATATTGAGTTTCACTTATTAAATGGTGACACACATGGAGGCACGTCCTGCAATAACCAAATGAAAGGAAACCAAAGGGACTTTTATGTGAAGAGTATAAACAACTGCAACACTCACAAAATGGTCTTATTTTCGATCTGTCTGTTTCTATGAATATAGTCGATACTGACGTGTAAAGGTACATTTAGCGATTGAAAACATCAGACAGCTACACGCGTGGTAATCCCACTAGGATCAAAGGATAACGCCATCGCGATAATCGTTCCCAAGCGAAATAGCAGTCTGCACGTTACCTACCATAGATTTTTGTAAAAAAAGTCATCTGTGTTGAAGGCGATTATGGAAAATTCTGTAGCCAGACATTGTGTATTTTCTCTTCAAAGTTATTTTCCGTGCCTCTACCACCTCAATCCTCATCAGTCGCATTGTTTTTAGTAAGTCTTCCTGTGGTGACGGAACAACCCTATATAGATTATGTTTATATATATGATTTATCAACAAGCTGATCCATTTTACTATGTTATACGGCCATATCGTAAGTACGGTATAAAACCTAAAGGTGCTGCGATTGGTCAAAACCGTGGGAACATATTCCTACGCCACTTAAGGTACTACTTTTATTTACTATACCACACGATACATTTATTGTTATTTTAAGTGAATTTGAAATGTTTATTTTTTTAATATTATTTTTGTTGCATTTAAAAATTTTAATTCAAAAATCGGAAACTACTTTGCACTGCGCGGAACCACAATATTATGATCTGAGTACTTTGGTTTTAACTATATGGAGTCAGCTGAGAAAACATAATTATGTTTGAAGGGTGTTTTTAAATTATGAATGTTATGTGATAAATAGAATTTAGCATTAAATGTTCGTGTCATATCAAACTATTGAACTCGTTTAATAAATTAAATATGACGTGGATACTGGTGTTAGATTCTCTATTTACGATGCATACTAAATGCTCTGTCATCTTGTCTTGTATATTGTAACTGAGGTGAACTTGTCAGTCTACGAGGTTGGTTGAACGAATGATTGAATAACGTGTATGCTATTCTTTTTAGAAGTTAAAAAAACTGTAAAACATATTTGTCATAATAAGTCACCGTTTCTTAATACAGTAAAGCTAAAACAGACATTTTAAATAAATGCAATAAAATCGATGCAGGATGAATGCTAAAAATAATATAGTAAAAATGCATCATGTTTTCGAATTTGGGAATTAGCACACCTATTTTGCATGGACCCATATACAAAGGGCAACCTAAAACTGTGCTTATGATTGTTTTAATATACAAGGATTCAAGATTTTCTTCATTTGAAAATGATCAAAGAGTTCCTCTCGTTTTGATATTTTGTAAAATTAACCTATCCAATGACAGTATGGCGGACTATGTCGGAACGACAAGTACGTTACACATGCAGCTTTTTTATTTTATTTCCTTTCTTAATACCTATGTCTACATTTTTCCATTGTTCAGATATTTCATATCTTATGTAATGTTGTCATCTTTTTTAAACTCCCTTTTCACTTCTATCATCTACTATCCGTGATATTTACAGTGCTCGTACTGTCTGTCGTTCCAGAAAAAAAAATGGCGATGTCGGACGTACCTCTGATTCGTCGAATACCATGTATTCCTCGAACTTTTGATCTAGACCCCACGAGTTCGAGTTTGCGGGGTTCTACTGTAGCTGCATGTCTTGAGGGGACGAGAAGACTTACATACCATGTAAGCGGGCTTATATATTACATTGTACCATACTGAAAAGGACACACGCGTCAAGTGCTTCTATATAACCGAACTAGAATCCTAACATACAAGTAGAAAAATATCGTTGAAAAATTAGCAAATGAGTTTTACATTACGCCTGAAACAAAATAATCTACTATAAGAATATTAGCATGAAGAAAAAAAGAAAAAAAAATGAACCCATATTTGTTATCAATCAAGTGCATTCTAAAACAATTTTTTTTAAATCCCAATTGAAAGCTTTTTAACTTGCACTGTCAGATTTAATGCAATCTTTCATTGTTTTCGTATGTCCAACCCATTAACACATCCTCGAAATTGAAAAAAACCTAACCGCCGGTTTTCCAAGGTTTCTATAAAAGTTCACCATTTTATACCGTTTAGTAATATTTTGAAGAATTTTTGAAATTATTATATCTGAAGCGCCAATCAGTTGAACTCTGTTTTTAACTTCTAATGGTGCATGGTGCAGGTTTTTTTTACTATTATTTTATATCATTTACATCTAATTAGCTTGACATAATTCGTTTCAAACTTTCTTGACGGGTAACTTTTTTTTTTAAATTGTGTGTGTGGTAGTCTGCGCCCTCCACAAAGATGAACATTACGTTTAATTTCTGAAATTTATTTATTTGTTTTAATTGTTTTTGATTTTGATGAAATAGTATATGCATACCCAACCTTCTCTTCCTCGTGTACTAACCATATTTTATTCTTCAAAAAATATGATGGATTGAGGAGACTATGTTTGTAAAAATATTATCGAAACATTCATTGAACTCCTAAAGATTGTGAAAATTAAAGAACTGAATAATACTTGGTAAGTTAGGTAAGACAATCAAATAAACAGCGCACTGTGGTTCAGGCACGGTAAAGTTATAGTATTTAAACAATTTTCTTTACAAAACAGTTCTTGTTTGTTGTTGATTTTGATTGACTTTAATGTACAAATGTGTATGTATGTGTATTATCTGATAAGTTGTAAAATAAAGGGCTTAAATAAATCTATATATCTTCTTAATTCTCAACTATAACAGAGTTTATTGAAGCGGAATCGTATTATCTGATATGATAATGACTCGAAAAAATGAATAACTTTAGCAATCAGTGGCAGACGCATAATAATGTCACTCAAGACTATCACTCATCAATGGCCTGTCAAACTCACTGGGCACATAAAGATGTTAGAGTTACCTCCCTTTACCGGAACACTACCGACCTTTAGCAAGCAACCATAACAAACTCCGATTTGAGAGTTGGGGTAGTGAACTTTGAATGAAGTGGGTGTGTAGGGCAGCTGTCACATCTGAACTCCCGCTGTTGTTTGTGTGTGTACGTCAGGGTGTGTCCGAACTCTACCGTAACGTCCGGGGAAATCCACAGTCTCCTTGTCAGGTATGTCGTACATCGTACTGAATGTCGAGTTGAGTTGTACTGTTGTACCAAATACGTAAACAGGTGAGTTAATTCCATCCTGTTTTTCAAATCTGATATAAAAGGAGTTTGTTGTTGATAAGTGAATATTTCTAGCTTCCTGTTATATAAGCTTACAGTTACGTTTGAAGATGTGTATATCACAGTCTGCTACAGGTATTTCAAAGGTCAGATATATATATATCTTCTCACTCCTAGTACAAGTCGGGCTGAGATTGAATGTAATTGTCTCGGTGAATCAAGGGACTGATACTGATGATGGGAAGAGAAATAACCTTTGTTAGTCCCATGTCAAAATGTCCCTATATACTTTAACAGCAAATCATACTACAGTAAGGGGGGTATATATTGGGCTTAATCAGTTCGCTGAGCTTAAATAGACCATTCTGATAGAAATTCAAGTTCCTGTGGTCTAACCCTCACTGATAGACTTCGTGTCATACGCGTCAGAAATTTCTGATAAATGTTCAAATATCGCCCGCTTATTCTGCTGTCAAAAAACGTCAAGCGATTCGGATGAGCGGATTCTAAATAGAAGATACAAAAACAACTGTATGCAAGTATTTTCTGTGTGAAATCTAAGAAAAACTGAACGAGACAATTTGAAAGTAGACTGTCTACACGCCCCTAAGTTATTTTAAAGAATTTTGAAGCTTTATTTTTTCGACCAGCCTCTTTCTCCTCCTAGTTTGAAACTTGGGATAGATTTTTCTAGATCTTTCTAGAGACAGGAACCAGTATTTGGAAGGTGTTTGTCTTGTCAGAAAATTGTGAAAATTTGACCGAAATAATTTGTTAAATTTCACTGAGATGGTAAAAATACGGCAGTAGCAGTACCACACATAGACATTCATCAAGATTATTAAATTTAACATCTCTGACAAACATTAGAGATAATACAAAAGATATACACATGGAACTATACGAATAATATATTAGTTTAGTAATACGATACGAATAATATTAGTTTATTATTTCTACAACAGTAGCATATGATGCCTACCCACCAGTATACTGTTGCTAGATCTTAAAATTGTAAGCAAGCAAAATGTTACAAGATTCGGGAACTACATGATATTACAGTCATGGTACCAGTAATTGTCCAAAAATACAACGAACCGGTGAGGTCACAGTGTCTCACAAATTCCCAACCAAATTCTAACCGATCTTATGGCATCTTTAATCAGAGTTCTAGTACTGCTGATGTGTTCACTGGCTCACACATGTAAGCATACTCAGGTAGCCTACTTTATTATTTATTGTATTGTTATTGTATATACAGCTGACAATTGGATTATCAATCTATAACGGGATTTTATACACATAAACGTTACAAACGTCATGAAGCATGAGACTAGAAACATATATATTATACATTGATCATTACATCCCACAAAAGGAAGTGTATTGACCTACACGTAGTCTGCTGATGTCCGTACATCATTGCCATTGTTTTGTAGCGAAAGGGGTTCTCGGTCTTGCGATCTTCTGAAAGAATTCTGTTCTTTATTTCAGGGCAAAGCAGTCTGGGATATGTTAACAAACTGTTCACCTGCCTCTACACCTCAAAATGACAAAGCACCCGTTTGCAAAGTTGGCATTATCGCTGATGTTCAATATGCCGATTTGGAGGATCGCTACAATTTCTCCAAAACACGTTTACGGTTTTATCGAAAGGCCTTGACCTTGTTACAACGGGCCGTCACAGACTGGACAGCGCAAAAGGTCGATTGTGTCCTTCAACTTGGTGACATCATCGACGGGTTTAACAAAGCTGAGAATGCCTCTGACAGTGCCCTAGCAACGGTTATTGAAGTGCTTAAACTGGTTCCGGGTCCGGTTTATCACACGTGGGGAAACCATGAACTATACAACTTCACACAGGAAGAACTCATTAGATCCGTTCTATTCAGTGGTAACATACCTGATTGCGTATGCCCAAAGGGAAAATCATATTACTCATTCGATATACACCGGAAGTTGAAAGTTTTAGTTCTGAATTGTTACGAAATAAGCATGCTGGGACTACCGGAAGGATCTGTAGAGCACACAGAAGCAGAAACATTATTAAGAGAAAGAAATCCGAACAGCGATCTTAATTCACCAGAAGGGCTAATAGGAACAGAACGACGGTTTGTGAAGTTCAACGGTACCCCGTCCGACACACAACTACAATGGCTGGCAGAGAACCTACAAGAGGCCAGAGAAAGCGAAACAAATGTCATCGTTATGGGTATGGATATAAATTATATAATCGTTATATTTTTTGCTTTTTTAGTATATGACTCACATAATCAGACAGTTAACATATTAAGAGCATTTCTTTTGGTCCTGAATAGGTCCTGAATATGTGCTGTCGGAGAGTCAGTATCATGTTCATGGTAATTTATTTTAACCATTTCACCCATATTTAACTTTAGTAAACTCTACCATACATTGATCTGGATAAGTCCGTTTGGGTATACAGTGGTGAAAGATACAAAAACAGTGTAACATGTTTCATTTAGCCAAATCTGTACCGGAAATGTCCATGTATACAGGCACAATGCCTGTTTTAAAAGCAAGAAAGCATGTTTAAAATGGCCCAAACATTAGAAATAGTCGGTAAAAATAGAGAAGAAAATTGAGCTTTGAATCCGGAAAATATTTGCCCTAAAGAATAAAGATTGTAATGGCGGTATAACTTTTATTTAAAAACTATCGCTATTTATTTCAAGAAATTGATGAATGGTTCATACAAATATAATGGTATTAAACGGATTACAATAAAACGTTAAAACCATGCACATTTTTATTTTATAGGTCATTTATCCGTACACGAGGAGAGTGCAGACACTGTGTGTTTATGTTACGGCTATAAAGACGTTAAGGAAATACTGTCAACTCACAGCGAGTGTGTAATATGTTACCTTGCCGGACACGACCACGAAGGCGGAAGTTGTGTTGACACTTCCGGAATTCTTCACGCGACATTTCCGGGAACCGTGGAAAGTCTGGAATCGGAAGCTCATGCAACAGCCTACCTCTATAACGACAGCTTTGTAATACGAGGCAAAGGGAGCTACCCGTCCTTCGAAACAAAACTCAGATATCCTATTGGTGATTCGAATTCATAGAATATGTTACGGTATAGTAGTCTGGTTTGGAATGTATTATGATGATACCAACTACATATTCATCAATAAAAGAGCAACAGTGTTATTTATATTTTACAGGATCATAAAAAAAAAACTAATTTTAAAAATTCGATTTTCATTTTAAATTGCCGATTCTGTTTTAAGAACAGTTATTTTTGATTTACAGATTTACATCAAAGCTATTTTGAAAGCTTACGTATTTAAACCCAAATTTGTTCTTAACAAATCAAAATGTTCTATGTTCCTTTGTATTGACACAGACATCTGAAACTAGAAGTATCTGTATAGGTGTTGGTACTGACTTTTAGATGGATTATTCAGTATGAGTGTGTAAGTGTCGTCAATGATAACTGTAATGAGAGTGGTTGTTGAGTGTTATTTTACAGGTATTACATTTATTATAGCATTTCTATTTATTCGTGATCTCATTTCAGAACACTCCAATAATTAATTTCATTCCCATTCGTGTCAGTATTTCTTAAGTTCAAAGTATTGTAATTTGTTCTTTCATGTGGCTTATTGTAGAAATATGGCAAAACTATCTCACAGTAATACGTTAGGTGTTTATAATAATATACAGAATTTGATATAGCGCCCTATCTAGCTAACCTAAGCCACTCTAAAGCGCTTTACAGTACATAGATACAATTTATTTTACAGTCAATACAATTTGAGGAATTCGCAGGAACTGCCTTAACATGCGCTAACTACTAGTCCTACGCCACCTGGCTAATATCTCCCTATGTGTGTATGCCTGCGTGTGTGCTGGAGATGTATTGTACTTATTAAGAAATTTCCTTATTAAAATTCACAGGCCAAATATATAAAACGTTTCACTACCTTGACATGAACTTACTTGTGTGTATGTTTCTTACCATATACCTAAATTTTCAGTTTCGTGTAATTAGTAGTTATCTAATTTTACCGCTGTAATTAAGTCTTGAACATTGTGAAGTTTAATGTTTTATCTATGTTTGAACCTCCCTCAGTCTTTAACGTTTAAACCTCCCTCAGCCTTTAAATTCTAACAATATTTTTGTTTGGCTGAATTTGCAATACATCAGGTAAGAAACCATTATTTGACTTTTATGATAGCCAAGAAAGAATGAGTTGATTATATGATTTAACTCCAGGCCTACCAAAATACATGTATACTTGTTTCCTTCAGTTTGAAAACTTCGTTAGGGGGTGGAGTAGGGCAGCAGATTTGTATCTGTCCTAGTTTTGCAGTAAGTGAACATTTTAAATTATTTCAAACATTTTACTATCTTTAAAAATTAGACCCACATCTCCCCTCCTCACTGACTACCGGAGTTTTATTATGTTTTAATCAAAATTTCTCCATGCGGTTAACATTTGAGGTAGGCATGGTTGAAATAATCGTCGATGGTTGTGTAAACATACCCCAAGATATTTTATTATATAACATATCAACAGGGGATTGAATCGCCTTATTTGCAATATAAAGAAATTCTGGTCTCTATAGATTTTTAGTAGAGGAGACCAGGGTGGGTTTTTTTTTGTATTACAAATAAATCAATCTACGCCCAAGTCATATCCAACATAACAGATTTACTCAAGAGACTATGTATTGTATAGCTATGTGATATACATCAGGTATTATTGTACATTGTCATAACGGTAGTGATATGTAGTTGTCTTTCAAATGTTTTGTAAGAAATCCTTTACCCAATGAAAATTATACGTACTGTTAAATTCGTGTTAAATGAAAATAAAGTTGTTTTAATGTTGATTTAAATGCCGTCTCGTGTGAGTCTTGTTTATATGTGTGATTTATAATGTCAGATGGTAGCACTCTTGTGTAGGTTTAATAGAGAAAACACGTGTATGTTGATCCGGAGGTTTAAAATATGAAGTGTCTAATATATACACGTATTTATGTATCCAGAAGTGTTGTTTTTTTTGTTACCACTGCAAGATCTTTGACGTATTGAAATAACATAAGAAATGATGGGTATGAAATCCATTGACAAACTGCATGTTGACTTTGTTACAATTTATAACTAAAAACTGTATGATAGGTCAATAAGTCCCAATAAACACTCAAATTTTGGGACCAAATCAACGTTTAATAATTTTCAACTGGTAAGGCCGAAAATGACCAGTTAGCAAGCAGTGCTGACAATGTTGACGAGTTATTCAATAAGTTATCTCTAAATGACAACATTCTTTAGCTCGAGTCCCTGACCAAACCCCGGTCTCCGCTTAAACCAAACACGATGAAGACTTTTGAGTATTTTCTGTGTTAATATCGTGGTTTGAACCGAACTACAGGGCAGTGAAGCGGACTTTAAAACACACGAACAATGTAATGATATAATTGGCATGGTACAGGGAAAATCCGGTTTCAAACACGCACTTATCCATTAGCGGATAAGAGTTGTCTCCCTTCAATTGCCAAACGATTGTGAAATCTACCTGTCGTTGAATCATTTTCAGTGACGTGGCAGTGGAATTTGTGTGGTGTATAAGGTATATAAATAAACACTCGTAAACATGACCATATCTCTACAGACATATAAGACCCTGTATAGCTGTCTCGGATCCTCTCAAACATGTAAGATTTAGATTATCCAAACACATGTTTAGTCTGTGTTTGATTTCGGATTGCCGACATCGGTATTATCTTTGAGATGTAGTCTATCGTATGTCGGTTGTTTTCCGAAAATGTGATAAATATAGAAAAGTTATTTCTATGACCAACAGAGCGTGGTGACCTGACCACTGCAATATACATAGAGTACAATGCCAGTTAAGAGCTGTAGAGAAGTAACGTTATATTTACTTGTAGGGATGGACATGTAAAATGTATATATATTAGCATATATCTAGAATATCTTACCATGATTTATTTAGAATTTGTATAATTTCTAATTGTATATAACTTTTCAAAATTGTTTTCCAGAAGCATGGCACAGCATTGCCCAAAATCACCCAGTAGCTCTAGTGACCCCTTATGTACATTCGGTATCATTGCTGATGTCCAGTATGGCGATTTGGAGGAGAAGTACAATTTCCACAAAACTCGACTGAGAAATTACAGGAAATCTCTCGATTTACTTGAACGTGCGGTCACCAACTGGACAGCCGATGGTGTGGATTGTGTTCTTCAGCTTGGTGACATTATCGACGGTTTCAACAAGCCACAGAAAGCCTCCGAAAGTGCGCTGTCGTCAGTTATTGATGTTTTAAACGTGTTTCCGGGTCCGGTTTACCACACGTGGGGTAACCACGAATTATGCAACTTCACACAGGAAGAACTCATGAAATCCGTTCTGTTCAGTGGTAGCATGCCTCAGTGCGCATGCCCAGAGGGAAAGTCCTATTATTCTTTCAACCTACACCGGAAGTTGAAAGTTGTGGTGCTGAATTGTTATGAAATAAGCATGCTGGGACTACCAGAAGACTCTGCCGAGTACAAACAAGCCAACGAACTTATTCTAAAGCATAATCCAAATAAGAGTTTATGCAACCCAGATGGATTAGATGGAACAAGACGTCGGTTCGTCAAATTGAATGGACTGGTGTCCGATTCTCAACTGGAATGGCTGAAGGAAACCCTACAAAGAGCTACTGAAGAACAAGAAAACGTGATCATAATGGGTAAGGCTTAGTATTTAGTAGGTATAAGAATTTTAGTATTCAAAGCCACGTTTAATTAGTAAGCTTGACAGTGATAGTAACAATTTGGATCACAGATCCAATGTCCAGTCATTATACATTACGAATGTTATAAGATCTGAGTGAGACAGGTCTGTATCTTAATCAACTGCACTCGTGTCAAGGCTTATCAGCCCAGGCCCTGGTCATGGATTTTACACAGGTGTGTACTGACCCTGTATTCTGTAACAGTTTCATTATAAGCCATCATAGCAATGTAGCAATAAATATTAGTTGTATTTGATTACGACCACAACGTCTGATCATAGCACCTGTAGTTGTAAATACAACATACGGGGTCTGTTCTTATTTTGATTACAGTCACAACGTGTTTTGATTACGGTAATAGAACCACCATGACGGACAAACGCAGAAAGGACAACATTGCTTCCTGGCATAAATTGTTAATTAACAGATTCCATCATGAAATATTTGATATTATCAAACATTGAGAGAGAATAAATTTAAAACTCAGGATATCGTCTTGTCTCAGAAAAATGCTCGATAATTATTTTTTTCCTTTTAGGTCACGTCCCTATCTGTGAACAGAGTGCAGACGGCATGTTTCTATGTTTGAACTACACAGAAATCATGGCAACAATATCTACATACAACACGTGCGTTCTCTGCTACTTTGCTGGCCATTATCACGAGGGCGGAAGTCATGTTGACAGTTCCGGTATACTGCACGTGACATTTGCCGGGATAATAGAAAGTCAAGAAATGGACGCCTATGCAACAGCATACCTTTACAACGACCGACTTGTCATACAAGGCAAGGGAAGTTACTCTTCCTACGAAACAAAACTCAAATTTCCTTGCAACAATGTATAGCTCTAGAACTGTGAATATACTTTACAAACAATGTATAGCTCTAGATCTGTGAATATACTTTACAAACAATGTATAGCTCTAGATCTGTGAATATACTTTACTAACACCGAGTAATGTTGAACAACCGATTAAGTGTAAATTTTACAAATGAGATACTTTCAAACCTGTATTAAGAGATCACCTTTAGGAAGTTTAACAAATTGTCGTTTAATACAAGTGTTCTCTTAATACAGGTTCCTTAATAGTTGAATCACTACAAGGAACATGTCCGGTGTTCTCTTAACACGGGTTGTCTCTTAATATAGATTCTTTTAAAATAAAATCATTACAATGGGGAACTTTTAAAGTTGTTTCTAAACACAGGTGGTCCCTTAATGGAGTTGGTCACATAAACAGGTTTGACTGTACAGTGTATACGGTTTTATGGTCAATACATAAGTTTTATATTTTTCTATCGTGATAAAAAAAATACTGTTGTTATTTATAGCAAACTACTCAAGCAAAGCATTTGTATATATAGTATAAAAAAATATAGGAAAATATTACTTGGTTTTAGACGTTATGTCATAATCGTATAGTCTGGCACACAGTCGTTTGACGCGCTATCGACGAGAAGGCCAGTCGGCGAATTCAAAACAGTGACAGCTGTCACTCACAAAATGTTATTTGTGACGGAGCTATATTTTAATACGTGTGTGACCATATTTTGAAGTCTACATAAACTTGCCAACTTAGTCTTGTTTTGTTTTTGAATTGTATGCCAAATCTCCTATTTGCCGAGTCTTGTCATTTTTGTTGAATGTGAACTAAGCGCTCAAGTTTGACCCACCTTTTTCGATTTTTCAAATAACAATGTAACCTTGTCAAATATGTATGTTTGAATGTACTTTTTAAGATATTTTGGATTTTGCCGCGCGATTTCTAACTCATGAAATTTTGAAAGGAATATATGTATACCATACTTTATTACAAATGTAACATTGTTTCATGTTTACTGAACTGCCAAATATATCTCAATGTTTTACATGTATAGTGATGTTCAGTCCTATAAAAGTCAGATATTTCAAAATATTTTGAACATTGGTAATCAGCCATACATTCGTCTCGATACTATTCTGTGGTGAGATGCAGATCTTCGGTTCCAAACAAATGTCGATATTTTACTTGCTGTACAGCTGTTCATAAAGTGAACAAAAGGGATTAAACCCAAAATCGCATACAACTTTACAACCTAAACATTTCAAGGTCCCTCCTATTCCCCTTTCCGCCCTCCTCCTTAGCATTTTGCTGTTTTTTTGTTTTTTGATATTATAAAATTATAATGAGTATATGTTTAAACATTGCATCAAAGTGTTATATGAAATTATTGTATATTGTATTATTGGAGTAAGATCTATTTTGTTGTGAGAAGTTGTGCTCAAATCCCTATTGTTTTCAATAAAATATTTGTTACCTCTTTAATGTACTGCCATCTCTTTCTCTATCACATGTACAATGTTGTACCATTTTAAGACTGTTCAATGGTCTTTCTGCCTGGCAAAAAATAACATCACGTTTTAATCATAAAAATATTAATATTGACATCTAATTTAATGCAGGAAACCCCTGTGTTCCATAGAAATTACTATTCAAAAGTCTAAATAAAACTACAAGGTACTAGGGACCATCATCACATGGTTTATTTATACAGTAACTTTTCAGGGATTTTAAAAGTTTCAATGTAGAGCGTTAATAACGAGTTTTAAAATGTACATCGAATTGAATAATACTGCAAATTACCTGTATGCCTTCAGTGCCCCCGCTTACACACGGAGATGACATTTCGCCTTTTTCCTGTGGCTTGCCAGAGAGTTTTCACAATTTATATCATCCAACCTCTCCATCATGTCGCCAACGAAAATCCTCATTTTTCTTTGAGACTTGTAAAGCTCAATTTTTCATTTCAGAATTGGTAACAATAAGGATTTGAATCGCGTCCTTTCTAGCCATGTGCATGCTAGAGAGCGCAAGGGAGCTAACCCCTGGAGTATCGAGGATAGCATTCAACTTGACTTGATTATAAACTCATTTTTTATCCATTGATTCGAGATTTGACTTTCCTGTCAGTCAATCAAAGGGAAATACAAAACTGTGTGGTTAGTTTGTTAATTGATTTTCGTTCAAGTAGCAAAAATATCCCAATTTTCGTTCAAGCGATAAAAATATCCCAATTTTCGTTCAAGCGATATAAATATCCCAAAGATATAGAAATGGTGCAGTGTATTCTTTTTTCATAATAACTAACGTGCCTATTTTGCTGCTGGGTTTCTTAAACAATTCAAGATAACTACTTACTTCAGCTTTCATTGTGTGATGAAACGCTGACACACATGCAGTGTTATACACATATACACATGTTTTGTGTACGTCGAAGCTAGCCCTGTTGCTTGTTGTTCGTAAACCAATCTGATTAAAGTCACCTGTTACATGGTTTTGTTTACTTTGTACTACGTCCAGTATATACTACGCCTGGACGTAGTGATCAATCGAAGTCACGTAACACATTTTTTTAATCAGATTGGTCTTAATCATAAGAAGTCTATACAAATTACTTCTATTTTGGGACCAAAAATCATTCAAACTTTTACTGTGCATGCTACACTTGCGAAAAAATGGGTCATGCGTGAACATCTGAAAGAGTTCTAAAGTACCTAGAGGCGGCATTCTCTCTTTCCTTTTAACTTATTTTCTCATTTAACCCAAAGCATGCCCTTCATTTATTAGGAGAGAATAAAAAGTCTTTTGAGTGTATTTTAAAAAGAAAAGCCTGTGTTATCAGAATGTCCCTAAGCGATATAATTGAGGCATTGTTGAATGTGATCCGGAAATGTAATGTGTTAAGTACGTTAGAAACTGGATTGTTGCTGGAACGAGTACTAATTATCAGTCTCTCACACGTATGCAATAGACTTGTGCACAGCATACTCGCTGTATGAGCCAATTGTATTAAATAAACTTATTTAATTATTCAGATTCTAGGTATCTTTTACGTCAATGATACATACACCGGTGGCACTACGAACAATATAACTGCACGTGTGTGTAGCTTGGACAATGTATATATATATATATATATGGCTCACCCTGATCCGGTTACTAAGTGCTTCCGTGTGTATTTTTTATTAGAGTTATCTCCCTGTATCGGTTTTAACACACACCGAGTCATTAGTGACTGTCATTAGGGAAAGCTTAGTTGTTAACAAGCATTGCAACGACTTTAAACGACGACATCAAAAGTCATAAACCGATTCTTGTCGCTTACATTAATAATTGTATCGACAGAGACAGACAGAGACGTCCCATCAGAACAGGAGATAGAGGTCGCCAACAATGGCAAGATAAACAAACGAGATCAACTTGACACAGGTATAGGGGTAACGCTGCACGTAAGCATGACCTAGTGGTTTTAAATGTTCTTGGTAAATAGGCCAACTGTAATTGTCTACTTTCACTCTAGGTTTTAATTACATTTTTTGTTGAATCCATAACTTTTATACATGGTGAGCCAACCATGTTTTTATTCTCTATGATCAGTTATGCATAAGATATAACGAATATAATAGGGCAGATACACTATTAACAGTGTGTACATGTATACACAAGTATATTCGCATAGACTTGCACAAGTCCAAACACAATTAATTAATGGAGGGAGTGATGTTGCAAATTATGAAACGTTTATTTAGTTGAAGTATCCGGTTGTTCAAATTATGATGAACTTAATCTGTCTTCTCAACACAAATTTCCTAAATACTATTTTTGAAAAGTATCTGAGGAATTATGAATATTTTTGTTGTTGTATATATGATAATTTTGGATGTTTAATTCTAGATTTCAACATTTTTGTTCAGCAACATGGTTCTAGTTTTGATAACTAAACTTGATCGTAGTTTTTTTTTCCTTTTTTATTTTTTTTGTTTTTACAACATTGACGTGGACAAACACGAAGGAGGGTAATAATGAAGGAAATACTATCAATATAAATTTTACCTTTCTTATTTGTTTATGTTATCCATACCATAAAACAAAATAAAAAGCTTATCCACAATAAGAAGCAGGTATAATGATAAGTACAGATGAGAACGAGAAAAGACGGGTCAACTCCATACTAATGCACACTATAATTTCAATATTCATTGTATCACTGTAAATGTGATAGCATATACATATTTATAAACATATATTCATATAAATATCATAAACATATCGTTTATGATGATACATGTGCTGCTAGAATCAATATATGAAAACAGATTTGATAGCCAATATTACTGACATATTACTTACAGGTTCCAAAACTACCAGCATGGATTGTAACGGAAACACAGAGTTAATCGTGGGGAAGGAAGCAGTATGTAAGATAGGCATAATCGCAGATGTACAGTACGCTGATATAGATGATAGGTACAACTTCCGGAAGACACGTTTACGGTTTTATCGCAAGGCCTTGACCTTGTTAAAAAGGGCCGTCATAGACTGGACAGCGGAGGAGGTTGATTGTGTTTTTCAACTTGGTGACGTCATCGATGGATTCAACAAAGATGAGAACGCTTCGAAATGTGCCTTAGGTAAAGTTGTTGAGGCACTTAAACTGTTTCCGGGTCCGGTTTATCACACGTGGGGAAACCATGAGCTGTACAACTTTTCTCAGGAAGAACTCATTCAATCCGATTTATTCAGTGGTAACATGCCTCAATGCGCATGCCCAAAGGGAAAATCCTACTTCTCATTCAACATTCACCGGAAGTTGAAAGTTGTAGTGCTGAACTGTTATGAAATAAGCATGTTGGGACTACCGGAAGACTCGCCTGAGTATAAAGTAGCAGAGGCGATAATTAAGGGAAATAACCCTAAAAAGAATTTGAACGATCCAGACGGACTTCAGGGAACAAACCGTCGTTTCCTTAAGTTTAATGGTGCAATATCGGCGTCACAGTTGGATTGGCTGAAAGCGCATCTTCGAGAGGCCACGGCAAACAGAGTGAATGTTATTGTCATGGGTAAGAAAACAACGGGAAAATCAATTATTCAAAGTTGCAACAATCTGGCTGTTACAATCATGTCGGAAAAATGTAAATATCGTTGTGCATACCTTCATAACTCTCCTGAGCCATTGGTTCTATCGGGAACCTTCGGCATTTCCGTAAACGAAACGTGTATTGGGAGAAAGGGAACCCTTCTTTTAACAATACCCTTTATTAAACAAACCATAATTTACACATTTTAAATTATATATAATTGCATCACAGATTTTAAAAAGCTTTTTAATATAAAAACGCTAGCGTAGTCCGGGCTCAATTTGTTTATATAAATAAAAGCTTATAAAAGTACACGAGTACTTGATGTTGGGAAGACGAAACGACTGGCAATTTTTAGTGACAAAAGCCGTTTAGCCCTTTATCTAATTCTGTCGGTGGGAAAGGCAAACAAACCAATCTTTAATTTGTTTATTTTGTATTTCAGGCCACTGTCCTATATTTGAACTCAGTGCTGAAAGCATGAATCTTTTATTAAACTTCCCGGACGCTATGGATGTCGTTACTGAATACAGCGAATGTGTTGTCTGCTACTTGGCCGGACATGATCACGAGGGCGGAAGTAGTGTGGACAGTTCGGGTATACTGCACGTAACATTTCCCGGAACAGTTGAAAGTCTTGAAGTAGATTCATATGCAACAGCATACCTTTACAACGACCGACTTGTCATCCAGGGCAAGGGAAGTTACTCCTCCTATGAAACGATATTACGCTTTCCTCTTGAGGAAAAGTAGTCTTTCACAGATCTTTACAATATATATCTACTTACATATCAAAAGATATTAAATATTTTGTAAGTCATCAACGTGTGAAAACAGAATAAGTGTTTCTAATCAATCAAAAGTGCCATTAGATTGCATTTAACGCTTTAAAATCAAGTGCCTCAGGTGTCTTACATGTGCGGTTTTAATCAATATTTTACTTCAGTTTTAATTGAATAAACTTTATCTATAAGAATATTTGCTCGTCATTTTTTATGTCTTCTATTTGTGTCAGCATCTAACTAACAGAATCTAACCATATTTATACTGAACTATTGCTTTGAAAGCAGTGTTTACATTGGTCATGATATTTCATTTCTCCATACATTCATCATTCCTTTATATCATATGAATTTATTGGGAGAAGATCGTAAACTTTCTTACTGGTGGTCACGTTTCGGATTTCTTCAAAACTGTGAAAAACCATATTAAATCTGGTCATTTGCAGAATGTTTGGATACTGTAAGCGTACATATTTTAGAGGTATTCGAATTTTTGCGCATTTTGCACTTTAAGTGTTGCATCAAATTACTACTGCGCTGATTGGAGTTTCTTATATAGTTTCCAATGGCATATATAGTGTGAGTATGCCAATTCATAAAAGCGCTTATCTTTTAAATTCGGTAATTTGAGTCTGCTAAAATAACTACTTTTACAGTAACACATTGCTGTACTTAACTAATGCACATACAGACCACGGTCGTAAGTCAACAAAGCAACTTCGAATAATATTGGGATGAGAAGTCAAGTTTAGTCAGATACTAGATTTCATCCTCGTTCCCAGGGGAAAATCGCACTTGCACTTTTTAAAATAATGGACCGATGATGATTAGATATGTGCTAGTCCGAATTATTCCGACGTTTTATTGACTTTTTTTCATATCGGTCTGTGTACTACTTTCTAATAGGAGGACGATTTCTTTTTCTGCATTCGGTTTGAATAACGTTTTACAGTACATAATATACATGTATGTGTGTTTTGCTGGGGTTGTCGAGTAGATACATATATATGTAGGTATTTACTTTCTGGAGGACGTAACGACCTTAGATTAGGCTTTATTTCCCGATGTAGGTCGAGGACTTCCTGTGCGTGAGCCAACGAAAGTGATATTGTGACCTTGTCTGCTCTTCATTTTCAAAGGAGTAAAATCTAAAGGGGGAGGTGAAGATCGTGCTACAGTCCCTTTGATAGTTAGCACTAAAGGGGGAGGTGAAGATCGTGCTTCAGTCCCTTTTGGTAGTTAGTACTATAGGTGGAGGCGAAGATCGTGCTACAGTCCCCTTTGGTAGTTATTACTATAGGTGGAGGCGAAGATCGTGCTACAATCCCCTTTGGTAGTAAGTACTATAGGGGAAGTGAAGATCGTGCTACAGTCCCCTTTGGTAGTTATTACTATAGGTGGAGGCGAAGATCGTGCTACAGTCCCCTTTGGTAGTTATTACTATAGGTGGAGGCGAAGATCGTGCTACA